CAATGGCCATCGTCTTCACAGTGGGCCGCCAAACCTCTAAAATGTATTTATCCTTAAATACATACTGTTTCCCACAAGGTCTGTGCAAAATGTTGACAGCCTAAACGATGGCGTGATTTTCAGTTATTGAGTCGGACCAGAGGCGTTCTCATTAAAATGTCATGAAGCAAACCAGTGAATCAATTTTGTTTGTAAAGTCGGGGCTCTGGAGAGCAGAGGATTCTGGGAAGATGGCAGTGGCATCCCCACATAGAAAGAACTGGCCTCAAACCTGTGCACAACTCAACAGAGCTGTACGTGTAAAAATGGTTAAAATGGCAGTTTGTTACACATGTTCTGCCATACATGAACTTCATTATATAGCAAAACTAGGTGATAACGTATCCCCATAAACCTCTAACAGGCACAAACCACAGTAGTCACAGGACCCACATGTTAAACAAGGTGTCTGAAGGGTCCGCTAGCAGAGCCCGTAGGTGCCCAGTGGGAGCACAGGCCAGTTTGAGCCTGCAGGTGTGTCAGGCCAGGGCTGTGATTCTGGGAGCTGGTGAACACCGAGGGCTGCTGTTGAGAGGCCTGAGGGGCGGAGCAGTCTGGCCCCCGAACTCCTCACACTGACCTGCCAGGTGAGGACCCCACACTAAGGAAAAACTGCTTGGAGTGGAATGAAAATTAAGCAAGACAGGGAAGAAAGAGAAATCCCAGGAGGAAGTCGGGGAGGACAGTGGCCAGGGCAGGATCAAAGTCAAGTCTGCACAAAATAAGGAGCAAGCAGAACAACATCCTACAGGCAAGGAGAGCAAGTCAGAGTGATGTGCCTGCAGAGCAGACAAAAGCCTTGACTTCTTTATTAATGAACAAAACATTAAGAAAATGAGACAGAAAAGAAAAGCGTGAATTCGAAAAACTCAGAAATGATGCGACAGAACTCAAAGAATTAGAAATCAGTGAAAAAAAAATCACTTCAGAAAATAAGTCTAAATTAGAAGGAGCACAAAGTGAAAAATAAAACTGACAGGGTTTTAAGAGAAATGAAAGGCACAGAAGAGGAAAATTGTATACATCAAAAAAGAAAAAGATGAAAAGATATACAGAAAAGGTGAAGATGAGTAAAGGTAAACATAATGGTAACATTGAAAAGATGGGCACCCGAGAATGACCGACACCAAGAAATAGTAAAAATGCTGGATTTTACAGAGATCCTTGAGGCATTGGGGGCGAGGGAAATCAGTCTTTTCAAAGGCTGAACTTCATCAGGGAGAAAATGGAATAATAAACATTTTCAGGGAAGGAAAAAGTGAGCCAGGAATTTATATCCAGCAAAACTGACTTTCCCGTGCAAAGGACACATGATGGGCAGGGAAGAAACTTGCCACGAGCCTCCCTGAAGAACCTGAGGAAAAGCTGCAGATGCCAACCTGCCTGGAGAGACCGGAGGGTGGGTGAGCTCTGCTGCCTCAGCCCTGCTCCCCTTTGTGAGGTTGGATCTGACGGTCCCAGGTGCTGTGGCGAGAGTGAAACCCAACCTCCGCTGCCAGGAGGCGGAGCCCCTGTCCAGCCTGCTTGGGTGGTCCCAGCTCCATGCAGGGAGTTTCCTCCCCTCGCGCCACCTTGTGGCCTCCTTGGGGACCCACATCCCCCCTTCTGACGGCCCGCCTGCGATGCTCCCTTCAACTCTGCCTTGGGAGGAAATGCTCCAGCCCTCATGCCTGCTGAAGCCTTGCCTCAGAAGGGCTGTGCTGGTTAATTTTATGTGTGAATTTGGCTGGGCCATGCAGTGCACAGATAAGTGGTCAGCCATTATTTTGGGTTTCTGGGAGGGTGTTTTGGGTGAGATTAGCATTTAGTGGGTAGACAGTAAAGCAGATTGCCCTCCCCAGTGTGGGTGGGCCTTGTCTGAGCAGCTGAAGTCCTGAGTAGAACAAAGGGCTGACCCTCCCCCAAGTAAGGGAGGATTCCTCTGCCTGATGGCCTTTGAACTGGGATATTGGCTTTTTCCTGCCTTCAGACGAATTCCACCATCAGCCCTCCTGGGTCTCCAGCTTGCCAGGAAGGTCTTGGGACTTGTCAGCCCCCATAATCACGTGAGCCAATTCCTTATATCAAATTTCTTTCTATATATACATTCCATTGGTTCTGTTTCTGTGGAGAACCCTGGCCAGTACAGGAAGTGTGCTCCAAAGCCCTGGAATTGCAAAGCCTTTGACTTAACAAAAAACAGGTTAACCTGGGATCATCTCTCTTTTGGGGGTGTGTGTGTGTGTGTGTGTGTGTGTGTGTGTGTGTGTGTGTGTGTGTGTGGTTTTTTTCCATCAATAGGGCTTATCCTTCCGAAGTAGAATAAAATTATAGACTTAAACTAGTAAAGCTGGGGGCGTGGGGAGAGCTTAGAATGATCTAGTCCCTGCCCTTCCAGCCTGAGGAAGAGGTGATGGGCTGCTCCCTGAGCAGGCGGTTGTGAGTCTGGCTGGTTGAAGGTAACTGGGAAGCCATTGAGCCTCCCTGAGTCCCCTTCTCGTCCGTCACCAGTGAAAGCTAAGCTGGAAGGTGTCCAAAGTCACAGATTGTGAAATAGGAGGACCGGGTCGTCACATCGAGGTCATTGTCAAGACGCTACAAACAAATGAATATTGGGTCATGTACGCTTTTAAGTGCTGTGCACTGTGTGTGTGTGTGTGTGGGGGGCTGCTGCAGTGTTGGATGTACTGAGGACTTGGGAGCACAGGCCATGCCCAGCGCAGGGAGACACAGGGCCTGCCCGTGGCTGTTGGGGAGGCCCCTCTGGGAGAAGGCCGTGCTGGGCATTGATGGGAGACATGCCACTTTCTGAGCGAAGCGAGAGCTCAGAAAGCAGCTTGAAGTTAAACACAAAATAAGAGGAAACGAGCTGACCTTGGGATGAAATTAAAATGCCACCCCCTGCCCCTCTGCTCAGGCGCCCATGGGAACGCGAGGACAGCCTGCTTGTGGACTTGAATGCCTGTTAGAGCCAGGGGCTGTGGGGGAGATGGGGGGCCTTGGAGAGCGGGGCCCAGGCCTTCCAGCACCATCTCTCTTCCCCCTAGGGTGGCCTCCTGGTGGCCCCATGCCACCCTCTGTGGGGGCCCAGCCAGCCAGACAGCATGGGAGTTTCCATGCACTCAGTGTGCGGTTTGGTTTTGTGACCGCAGGGCCTAGCTGTTAGGGACAGGGACTTGTGACAGGAGGTGAGCTGCCTGTGGAGGTGCTCACGGTACGGTGGCGAGCAGGTTCCGCCCAGAGACAAATACATACAGACTCGCGTCTGCACAGAAGCCGGCTTCTCTGGCCTAAGTGGGCTCTGTGAGAGCACAGGCTGGGTTGTTTGCTAATGATGTCGCCCGGTTTATTATTTTTTAAAAGAGCAAATCCAAAATCAAGCGACTGAATCAGGTTTCGTAGTAATGGAGGAGCAGCCTTGTAGCTGAGGATTTTTGTATTGAAATTTTTACTGCGGTAATTACAGTGCAGTAGCGTGCAGTTCTAAGAATCAGTACGGAGCAGCCTCTGGTGCCTTTCTCAGCTACCCCCAGTGGTCACATCTGCAGAGTTGCAGCCACAACCAGGATATTGTCATGGACGCATGTACCAACCCTGCTCCCACATCCC